TTCTGATCTTTATTGTGATAAAAATATTTTAAATTTCATATATTTTGTGACATACCTGTTGACCTTAGACACTAAAAAAGGATTTAATGAACATCACTGTCATTAGATAGACTCTTTTATAATATACGATAATACTAACTTTTTTTTGTAGTTCATTTAGTTGATTACATTTTTCCATTAAAGTTACGAAAGTAAATAGGGTTTATTTGAATTTGTTCAGCAGTTTTGACGTGATAAATAATTTAGAGGCTTATAATAACTCTAATAATTATATTGACTTGTCAATTGTATGCGAGCCTAACTGCTAAGTGTCAGAAGCAAGAGTTGTGTACCTATACAGACACTTTTTCTACAAAATCTTATTAGACTGATTCTATCCATGCTCGGCTTCTTACTCAACCTAGTATGATTTGGCCTTGCACTTCTGGATATCTTTCTCCATTAAATGAAATATGCGATTACTTATTGCACCTGAAATTGGGTTTTTATAATCTCGAATAGACATTTAAAGGAATTCAATTCAATGAAAGACTCCTTTCCTAATATTTTTCGTTTAATGTCTAGAAATTCTGTTTTTAACTTCTGTTATTTTTTAACGACTTAAGTTTTTTTTTGTCTAATATTGAAAAGAAAAATAATTTTATTCACTTGCTTTATTTAAAACGATAATAGATTTTCAGCAAAATATTTTGAAGTGTGTAACATATCATAGTTTATAGGTATAATTTGTTATCTGGATTTTCATATATCGTTTCATAGATTCTTCATGTATAAGTATTATTTTACTATCTGTACCAGTTTGTTTGTTCGAAATCAATAAATGTACATAGTTTCTTTCACAATTTTTTTCTGAATAGACCGTCTGAATAAAACGAAAGACGTTCGTCGAATCCTAATGTTAATATAATTTTCCATTTTTGCTGGGATGGAACTGTTTATTACTCTAAAGTAGAATTCGATTAGAACTAGATTTAGATGAGGTATGCTGTATACGGTCTAACTCGATCTTTACCAAGTTGCGTTCGCTGATCTGTGCTGCGGTAGTTCAGTGGCGTAGCGCATGACAGCGTGCGCCGACTGAGGCTGTGCGGTGACGAGGCCGGGTAGGTGCAGTGTTGCGGCAATGAATGAAAAGGTACCAGAAACGCAACCTAAATACCGGACATTCTTCGAGTCCCCGCCGCCGTCGCCACGTGTGCTAGCAGCTCTCTTTTACCGCTGCCGCCGCCCGAAATAATATACTAAGCTTACATACCAACACATGGAAATGTATATCGAATTAGCAAATCCACCAATGAACTTTCAAATGCCTATCGATGTTTAACCATGTGAATTGGAGGCTTGTTTATTTAAATACATATTGGGACCCTTATAAGGACTCCTTAAGTACTATCTGGTCGTACATTCTTACGTAAAGTTTTACTAGTATATATTAAGAATCCAGAAATATATTATTTATTTGACTATGTATTAATTTTAATCAGACTGTATGTTATTAATATAAATTAAATATCTTGAAATATTTTTACTATATTATTAAAACTCACATTTTGTTTATTTAAATATGACAATGGATTTATACTTTGTAGGGCAGGGTGAAACCACAGTCTAGTAAATCCTGCCACATACTTTGGTATGTTTTATAAGAGATTGAAATTAACGCGACCTTTTAGGTAGCGATAATAATTTTTAAAATTAATTACCTGCATTATAATAATTTACCTAAATGATCGCGTTAATTTCCATCGCTTGTAAAATACAAAACATGCAGTGCGAAAGTCTAAAAATTAATACTTTCGTATATTGAAGAAATGGATAAAAAATATCAGAACGCCGTCTTCACATATAATTTGTAGTACTTGTCAGTAGTATTACTATTAATTGTGCAACGTAAAATATCATCTTAAGAATAGGTTTAAAATTCAATTATATTTATAATAAATGATAATATAGAGACAAATAATATCTTAGTTCAATTCACCTATTGGCCTCTTATATACTCGTGTTGCCATTTTGACCGGAAGTGCCGACTTGATTACTCAAATATCCTCACAGTTACTTCACAATACATTTATGAAAATATTATGTATACACGGAAGAACTTAGCGAGTTTTAAAAAACTCAAAGACTGTACAAGTAGAAACTTACGCAATATAAATAAGCTTATTTTACCTATGCCGTCTGCACAAAATCAGTAATTCATTCTATGGTAATTGCATAAGATTTTATAATAAACTGCCGGAATCTGCATTAAATCTGACAGAGACAATTCAAATCTTATATTATATAAGAAAGCCTATTACAGGATAGACGAATTCATAGATGACAACATATCAAGTAAATAATTAGTTTATTAGCATACAACGTTATAATTTTATTTTCTCATTGCTTTCTTGATTTAATTGATTAATTTTAGAAATATGAAAGCGTAGCGGTTTTTTGTATTAATTTACGCATGAATTCTTATTTAAAATTTGAATACTATAACTATCAGATGGCAATTGTGATAGCTTTGACGTGGTCTAGTGTTTTGATAGTCATCACTAAAATGTCCAGACTTGTGGCGGCGTGGTGGGCCGGGTCATTGGGCTCCCTAAAATATGGTCGAGCGCAGTGATGGCTGGCTCATCCGTCATACTCGTGAACGGGTGCTGCTTGTAGGGACTGGTCTGCTCTAATCACTATGACTGATTTCCTCTTATTAATTGTTTAACCAGTTGGTTATGTATTCAATTTTTTTTTTCTTTTATTTTTTAGTATTTAATTGAATTAGTGCTAATTGGTGGTTTGTATTCACACAATTAAACTTAAAAATGTAAAATAATAATAAAATTATTTTCACGCAAGTTTCTTGCTCGTTCTTCTTGTGATGAGACAGCTTTCCGAACGAGCGGTAAATTAAAAAAAATGTAATGACTTTTCAAAAGTGCTTCAATGTAAGTTTATTTGAATAAATGATTTCTATTCTATTCTATTCTATTCATTTTTACTATTCGATATACTAACGCCATAAATATTTACACTATTCAGAGCAAATAACTAATATTATATTATAATTTATAGGAAATTTAATATGTTTAAAATACTTCTTTGAGGTTGATAGCTTTAGTGATATATAAAAAGAAGAATCCATTCTTCAATTTGGTTCCCACGTTATTTTTTGTGAGCATCTTCACATAGGTAGGGGGAAATATACCCTTTCTTAGACCAGTAAGCGATTGTGAGCTCTTATTTATTACTAATAGATTTCAAAGAGTAAAGTCTATGCATGCATTTAAAAGGGGACGAATAACATGTAATTGTGTAGGTACATTTATTAGCAGGTTAGATTACGTTATTAAATTAATTATGATATATATAAACAATATTTAATAAGTATTGAAATAAATTAATAGAACTAATTAACAAGGTGACACATAATTGTAACTAACTTGTAGTAAGAAATAATAATAATAAATAAATAAATAAAAAATTACGAATTTCCTGGTTTCCAAGCAAGAATATTATGTATAATGAGGAAAAGATTTACAGGTAATTTAATTAAGGCCTTTTTAAATTTGTAATTTTACTAAAAATCTCTCAAAAAAGTAAAAGGGTGTAATAAAAAAGCTAGTAATGAGTTTTTAATTTACCTTTTTATATAACTTAAAATAGGAAACAAGCTGACGATTTACCTGACAGTAAGACAATTGGGACGAAATCTCCAATGTGTTGCTATTTCTGAAGATTATTATATTGTATCTCAATATTTTATAATTTTAGTATTATATCCCCATTTATTTAACTATATTTCTTTATTTCACCATCATCTGTATATAAGTTTGCCCTTAAGCACAAATTTTATCTTTGAGTTGAATTTATTGTTGTTGTCTGCTTGTAAAATTAGCGGATGATACTGACTCAATACGAAAAACACAATAGTAGTTGTCTTTAATCTATTTGTATTTTACGTTGTATTACTATTACCATATTATCTGAAGCACCAATTTTTTTGCAATAGAAAATTAATTTAAATTTAAATTAATTTTTTTTTATACATTACTCGTTTTGATGTTTAAGGTTCAGTTTATAAAGCTATGCGGTTATTTTTTGCGAATATGTATCTTCCGTTTCCGTTGCAAATTTAATGGGACTTTTAGTCGTCATATAAATTGTATTTATAAGTGGGTTTCAATTAGAAAAAAGTTGGCTCGGTCTAGTAGTTTTCAGAAAGAAAATATTATTTTTTTACTTTTTTATTTTACACATCCTCCATGAATACAAATCTGTTACTAATTTGTAATTAATATCAAGAATCATCAATCTTTACTAGTAAGTTAATTATTCTCTATATAAAAGTCATTTTCAGTAGTCATTATTATCATTTGTTCTTATGGGGCTATACCGAACTTTAGCATTAATCATTTTTAAAATAACACGAATGAATGATTGAAATAAAAAAAGAACCTTACATTAGTGATGGGTCAATTTAAAAAAAAAATAGAATTTTATAATATTATAAAGTTTATTTACTACTTTATTTATATATTTACTACGATATTTGGATATTACTTAAATACTATTTAAAATGGATCTCAACGAAATTTGGTACACACATATTAACATTAACATACAGAGGGAGACTGTACAAAAGTCGATTGCTTGGGTACCTCTGTCCCATTCGTGTTTCAACCGTGAAGCAGTTGTGTTTGCATGGTTGTGTTTCGGTTTGAAGGATGGGATATGGCGCAAATTTACTGGGTACAGAGGAATAACATCTGAGTCCTCAGGAATGGCATCGCATGGGGGTATCATGGGCGAAACAGTTTACTCTGTTATGTCCATGGTACTGCTCATGTCTATAGGCGACGGTTACTACTTTCCATCAGGTGGGCCGTCAGCTTGTTTGCCATTCTAAGTTGTATAAAAAAATACAGAATATTTTTTCATCTAGTTTATTTAAGTAAAGTCAGTAATAATCAATATAAGTTAGTAAAATAAGTGTTTGGTATTTATTACAGGTGCCGGTGGAGCGAGTGGGAGTGGCGTGGTAGGAGTGACGCGGCGTGGTCGGTGCAAGTGGTTCAATGTGGCTAAAGGATGGGGATTCATTACACCTGATGACGGTGGACAAGACGTCTTTGTGCATCAGGTAAATATTCATATATAATTTCACAACGTATTCTGAACTCTACTCTGTACTTAATTAGAATCATTGGACTATATGCAAACTGTAGATTCTTTTGGACTTTGACTAGTATACTTAAAAGTACCTATTATTTATTACAAGATATGTTTTTTTACATCGATAAATAATTAAATCTCATGCTTATTGTGTTAATAATATTTTACTATAAGTAATTTACTAAGTTTAAGTTAGTTAGTTACTAAGAAAAATTTCTTGTCATACATTTCACTTTACTGTCTAATATCAAGATATTGAAGATATTATTATAAAATTTATGAAATGTAGATATTACTTCTGGTGTTTGGCTATACTAATTTTGTTTATACTTAATATCTTTATAAAAAGTAATCCACAAAATTTGTAACCAGAATTACATACGTAAAGTGTTTTATTACTTGCCCAGTTTTCTTTTATATTAAAATCGAGAAAATCAAACGCCGCTGACCTCACAATCAATATTTATTTGTATTAACATGTCGTTTCAATCTCAAATAGAATTTCTTACTTAATAATACATTTTATAGAAAATTATGATTTTTTAACTTGGAAATGAACAGTTATTTTACATACGCAACTTAATTTCTCCTGCCCATTTTTTGTCCTTAGAAAGCAAAAGAAGCCTATTACAAGTAGGCTTTTTTGGATACAAATTTTAGATAAATGTCGGCAAAGATATTCTACATAAAATTGAGGTGGAATTGTTAATAAAATTAAAATGGTTAAGACCATGGCATACTTGCGTGTATAAGATTTCGTAGTATTTACTAAAAATTGTTTGATTTCATAGTTAGAGACATCATTAAGTGGATTTAAGAATATGTATAGGTTTAGTTAATTTTTAGTTAATTTAAAAATATCTGTACGTTTATCGTTTTGTTATACAGTACAGTGATAAAACATAACAATTAAAAGTTAAACCTAGTTTATAGGCATCTCTTAGCGTCTCTTGTACTTGGTTTAGTTTAGAAGTCAATTAAATTGGTCTCCTCCATTTATTATATTATCTATGGTTTCTGCATTGATATGTAATTTAGATCACAGACAAACGAACACAGATACAAACAATATCTGTCTTACGACTGTTAAATTCACACCAAGTAAAGAAACTTGAAAAAATTAGAATGGTGTTTAACATTTATCCGAAAAAAAGAACTGATGAAAATAAATCATAACACAATATTACACTGTATTTTACATTATATTGAGATTTCTTAAAAAACATCTCAGAAGGAAAGAAAGAAGAGGAAAGGGAACATCAAGAAAAAAGTTAAATGGACAAATAAAAATTAACTAGGCTTTAAGTATATCAAATCCTATAATAGAGTAAACACCAGTTATGATCAGAGATAGACTATATTGATAAAAGATACATAAATTACCAAATAATCTTTTAATTTTATGATTTTACTTAAAAGGCTTTATTTTCGAAGGTATAAGAAATATTGGAACAATATGACTACATCCAAGATATACTTTAAACAATACGTTATTAAATGATAATATCAAATAAAAAAATTAACTACAGTTTCTATGTAGGCATATTTTTATGTGAGTTGCTCTGTTGAACTGGTACTTTACTTTCATGTTTCGCATTTTATGAATAATAGTTTTTATCTGTTTTATATTATATGTATATTTGAAATATATAACGAATTTGGTTTTCATATAAATTAAAATATATGTGAGAATTTAGCGTACTACTTATCTATGTTACAGGCGACCGCAGATACATATATAACGTATTAAATGAAAGAAGTAATAGTTGAAACTGCACGTGCGTTGGGGTGGCACAAACTTTTAAGGGACTATACACCTTTTGTATTTAACGATAGTGCGAGTACCATTTTAAACAAGTCAATTGTAAAGTGACTCGATTCGAACACCTGTTAAACTATTATACGTACCTATGCGTATTAAAAACCAAGTTTAATGAATTCAATTCGTTCTCGCTCATACGGGGGTTTTTGTTCATAATTTAGGGAAGATGTCTCTAATAACAATTTTTGTTTTGTTAAAATTTTGTCATATTCAGTTATTTAAACGGTTTGTCTAATAAATAACTTTTTAAAATTATTAAATATAATATTAATATAAAATTATGATAATATATCTCAAATATAATAGCTTTAAAAATAAACTAATAAATTCTATTGTATGAAACGACTCCTATATGTAATATTAGTGTAAGAAATTACAATCTTGGATACTGTCTTTTGGCGTACATTAAGTAGTATTAATTTAATAAAATAAAAATAGGTATATTTAGCGTTAATATGAGTGTATTCTGGTTTTGGTAATTTCGTTACTTGTCTTTCGATAGAGTTTGGAGTTTATTCAAATTGCGGGAAATTATTTTTGATGTTGATATTTGATATTATATTATTAGAATTTATTAAAAAAATGTAATTTTTTTATTTTATTCCACATTATATTCATATACACATATAATACTTATTATGGTATATTCTGAAATTAAGAATTATTCTTATTAACGTTTAGTGATAGAGTCAGAACAAATAAGGTATAAATTATGCAAAATTATATTTGTATATAAAAATAAATATGACTAGCAAGAAATATAATATAATAATATTCACAATTGTGCGTAGAAAAACATATTCATTCACAGAATATAGTTTCGTATCTAGCGGTTGACCCGATAGTCCGCTTGTTTGTTTGTTCGGCTTATCAAGGCCGGATGTTTTTTCTATACATTTACGCCACCAAACTTGTACTTCGTTCGGTTGCAACGACACTAGCGGTAAAATTTAATATTAGGTCAAGACTATATTATTGAATGTCGATAAAGTTCATTTTTTCTCATAAATTTATGTTATGCTAGTAGTTTAACAATCATCATCATATCATATGTACATATCGTTACCAAATTGTCTGATACAATGAAATTAAATTTATAAATTGTTTCTAAGGTGCATACATCTAATAAGCGTTTATATCTTATTGAAATTTGAATTCAATTTATAGGTGCATAAAATTATTATATTCAAAGTACAGATCCAAGATAACAAAATCACTGGATTATAATAATACATAGGACAACTTTTATTTCTGTGATCCCCAAAAATCTACCTATATTTATAGTAGTAAATAAAAAGGTTTGATTAACCATATTATTTTCTTTTTATAATTTTGTTATAAAAATAATGATGTTAATAACAAAATAATAGCTCATTTTATAGTGCATGAAAAACATAATACATCTACATGTTTTTAAATAATATTTTACTGAAAAATGTTGAATTAAAAAAAATAGGAAATTGCTAAAAAAAGAAATACTATATTATTTTTAATCATAAATTCAATGCGTAGTTTTTTTGCAAGGCCATTTCCTTATAATAATATGACTACTATTTTATGTTATTATGAGAAATACCGTTATATATATTTATTATATACCCTATTTACAGATATTGTCTAGTTACAATTTCATTATAATATGTGTTTATCAGAACAGACAGATTATTTATCGGTCAAGTCTGTACGTAAAATATTTTTTTTTTCAGTTCTTTGGATGCATTGTGTATTATGGAGGCCAAAGCAACATGTTTCATCAGCTTGTTTGTCATTCTAAGTTACATAAAAAATGTTTTCCCCATTTTTAATAGTTTGATTTCTGTATTATGTAAAACTACTGGACTACTTTTGATTGTATTTTTATAAATGAAATAATAACATAAGCTATAAATATTTGATATATTGCCTTTCAAGGAAGTATAACAGTAGTTCAAAATAATATAAAAATATGATACAACTAACAAATTTTCATTAAAAATAATATTTAAAGAGATTATTTTCTCTTTTCTTCCAGAGCGTCATCCAAATGCCCGGATTTCGGTCACTAGGAGACGAAGAAGAGGTGGAATTTGAGTGCAAGGAGTCCGATAAGGGTTTGGAAGCAACACGGGTATCAGGTCCTTCTTCAGTTGACTGCCAAGGCTCCCATCGCCGTCCTTTATCAAAGAAGAGATTCAGAAAAATGCGGTAAGATAATACTGTAACATATTCACAGTACAAGTATGGAAGAAAATAATTAAGTTTATTCTAAAGCGAGAATAGACTTTATTATTTTCTTCTAAGAGAGAACGTTCTCTTTCTCTAAAATAAAAATTTCATTTTGATATTAATTTAAGGATCAATGTAAACAAAATTTTTAGTAAAATTGTATTAGAACTGCTGTACATTTACATACGTAGTAATTATGCTATATTTCAAATTAAAATAAATAAGTTTTAGCGTTGGTACCTCAGAATCGACCTCCAATAGGGTTAGGTTATGATTCACCATTATTTATAATAAAATACAGGATGAAATCGAAATCATTAGTTTTCTTACACGTACAAGGGAGTGTTCTACCAGTGAAACTAAACATTTTTTCCCCAGAGTAACATGCGTTTAAAAATGTAAAAAAATTAGAATTTTCCATATAAACTCGATGGTTAGAAGCACCATGTTAGGCTCAACATATTGATCTATTCGGTTTTCGAGTGGAAAATTCGTCTCTACCGCGTCGCTTTTTGATGAAATTTTAAATTGCAATGTATTACAGTGTAGGACGTTGCCTATATTGCAATTTTTGTTTAAAAAAAGTTTAGAAAATTGATAAAAATACCAGAAAATTGTAAAAAAAATATGAGAGGTAGTTCGACATCACTAAATATGTTTTGAAATTGAAGAAATAGCTTAGTAATGACGTGCTGAGTTTTAATATAAATTAAGATATTAAACGACAGCTGCATTTATGATTGTTTGTTATTTTTCGATAGTTGTGGGTTACGTAAATGGCAGAGCGACCCGTCCTCGCTATTGGATACGGGTGACGGGTCAACTTGAAATATGGGAGATAGAATCAAGAATGAATGTATTAAGACGATCTTAGTGATAGCAACGTATGAGTAGTGTCAACATAGTAGTACTTTTTTGACTACAGAACAAAGTCATCATTTAAGATTTATGTATATTATTACATTTTGAGTTATCCAAGTGATTGTTTAAAAAATTTATAATGTTATTACGATGAAAAAAATAGCTAAATTCGAATTAAAAAATATCTTAATTTCGATAACAATTAAAACTAGCTGCAACTAAAGCGCCAACTAGAGACATTCATTAGTATATGGGTGCTGACATATCGTATTTGAGAGGGGGTGAGGTCAGATCATAGAGAGTGGCAGGGAGAGTTCATACTGACCTTTAGTATTATTACTTATATTATGCTAATATAAATAAATTACATATAGACGACGACGATAAAGTCTTAACAAAAGCATTAAAAGCCAAAATAATAATTTTTACAAACAATGTATGTCTACCCGTCGTCTGTCTATACGTTTTTTTCTGACGCCACGCAAAAATTACTACATGAAATTGTATACAGTTTTCAGAGTTGTATTCCTGAAAGTATAACTTGAAAACTGGCGAATTTTTTATTTTAATATGCTATCTAGAAGTGGTTTCATTGTTCAAAGTAGCGAGCAAAAAGCTAGTTTAGTATAAAGCAGTAAATAGCAATTTCTTATCAACAAATACATTATGGTTCTTTAAGCATTAGAAACTTAAGTAGTTTATAAAAATAAATAATGTTATAACGTAGGTATTCTTTTAATTATATACAAATACATTTATATTTCAGTTGCTATAATTGCGGTGAATTCTCTAATCACATAGCAGCAAAGTGCAGCATGGGTCCACAACCAAAGAGATGTCATAACTGTAAGAGCGAAGATCACCTCATTGCCGAATGTCCTTTAAAGGTAATATTATAAATCTATTAATTATTACTAATATTATAAATTCATACCTATTAATATTATAATATTCACACTGCAACAAATTATTAAATAAGGTAAAAAGTTTAACATCCAAAATCTAAAAACATATATTTTGTGGATTTTCATAAAGATTTCGATACAGTAAATTGAGACAAACTGTAGGATATTCTTATCGAAATGGGCACACCAAACTACCTAGTAACATACTATGTACCTAGTAACATAATAAGAAAATTAACCGAAGATTGTATTGCATCAGTTCAAGTCGTTGACCAAAAAATAAACATGAGAGATTTAGAGTACGGTATATGGCACGGTTGCAGTCTTTCTCCACTATTGTTTAATGTTTATATTGGCAAGAGAGTAACTGTGAGTTGATAATAAATATCTAATTTGAGATATGTTAATGATACTACACTTATTACTAAAACTGAAGAAGATATAAAAGACCTATTGGGATTTTTAGAAGTAACGAGGCTCTAATTTAGATTTACTATCAATTCGGACAAGACAAAAATGGTTACTGTAAACAGAGCGATTTAAAACAGAGAGATTGATCGTGTAATGAAGTGTCTTGTTTTTCCAAATTTACTAGACTTAATCACTAAAGTCAAAAGATCTCCGCAAAATTGACACTTTGGAAAAGTGGTGTTGTAGATATCTCCTTAAAATCCCGTAAATGGTTTACCACACCGATGTCTCTATACTAGAAAAACTTAAAATTAAAGAAAGTTTGTTGTTTGTTGCGATTCTAGTACATTTTTGATATTCTACAAACGAAATATGAATTAAAATAGATGACGAAACTTTGTACGTAAATCCAAAATCGTTAAGTGAGATGTATATTATTATCCATTTAGATTTTTAATTTTAATTCAATAAGAAGAGGTTATGAAGCCATAAAAAAATGTAATATCAGTTTTTATTAGTATATAGAAGCCATATTTATTTTAAATCTGTAAGAGACTTAACAGCTATTTTTTAAAATTAGTTTAAGCAAATATAATTTTCTCATACAAGCTATAGATATTTTTTTCTTAGAATTTAATGACTTTTATCTAATTATAAATGAATATACTATATATTAAGCAGATAAAGTAGGGGTTATGCTTATATGCTATGTATAAATTTAAATCATTTTATAGCTAAAATAATAGTGACAATTTAAATAGTTTACACATACAATATTTCACATGTAAACACGACTTTTATAATTTTATTGTACGTAGCAACTGTTCATATTTATAAAATATCAATTTTTGGTATCGTTAAATTGTATGTTACGAAATCTAGATAACTAAATGATGACATTTTTTATTACAGAAGAAAGACGATCGTCAATCAAAGGGTTCTGGCAGCTCCCAAGGAAGTCAGTTAGGCAGCCCGCAGTCGTAATCGCATCGTTCATTCTAGTTTGCGTTACAAAACGTGTTTAGCATTTATTCGTTAAAGCATTATGTTTACATTAAGGAACCTAAACTAATGTCTTGTAAGTTCGATTAGTGTGAAAAACGAAATTGCTATCAAAAACAGTTTTTCCGATATCATGACATTCGCAATGTATTAGAACAAATATTTTTTCTAATATTCTAAATTTTACATTTACCTAGAAATATGAGTATTTTGGTTGTAAAAGCGTAACGAATCCCGTCTACCTCAATATGGCCAATAATATAAAATAGTTACAGTATGAATTATAGAATTAAGCACAAGACTGATCAGTACAAATCCATAATGTAGTAGTACAAAACTTTACACTTAATAATTTAATGGATAGAAACTTTATAATTAAGTTCTGCAAAAGTAACGTAAGTACAAAATTTATGTGTTCGAGTGTCAATATTTTAATTAATTTACTTTATATTGTGTTTACCCAAAGTGTGTGTATATCATTATTATTAATTTTGTTGCTATTTTATATTATGACAAACTTTATATTTAGTTATAACCAGAATTAGATTAGAAGTATTATATCTGGCTATGAATATTACGAGGAAGTTTTAAAATCCTAGACTCTAGGAAATTTGAATAGTTTTAACACCGTTATAGTATAAATATTGCAATTTTGCAATAATTTAAGTACCTAATAAAACTACCTCTAATTTAAAAAGAATTAGGTTTAGAAAATCATAATTATTAATACTTATACAGAATAACTACAAAACAATATTCTGCATTAAACAATAGGTGTTATTGTGCGAAGGTCCATATCACTGGTTATTTATTTAGCATTATTATGTTTAATTCCGCTACCATTACTATCAAAAGTTCTACAATTTTCACACGTGTCACAAAACATACGTAGAGGAAATGATAGTCAAAATTGAGGGCTAATATGAGAGGTTGTAGAACTTCTAGTAGTAAAGATTGTAAACAATTTTTAGTTGTGGGGGCAGTCACACACGTACTAATGATAGCGGAATTAAATAAAATAGTTTAAACACTGATACGAGTATATGTTGCATATCATATAAATTTAAGTGTGATTTTGTTAACAATGGCACAGCTCTGTATCACATCACATGCATTACAAACATGTACTAGTATATGGAATTTTACAAACCAAAGGAAAAACATGTTGCAATAATACTTATAATTATTTGTATTTTAAACGTAGTGCTCAATGAGTGAAACCGACATATTTTTTGACAAAGCAAACCTTGAAGTTTAAGATATTATAAATGCTTACATCATCTGTTACTTGTATTTATAATGAAATATTTATTATTTTATTTATAGAATGAATATAATGTGTGACAATTTGCGTTTTAAGTTGCTCAAATGTAATAAATAAGTTTGTAACGGAAGTTATTCAATCATAGATATATAGTATTTTGTATTACTACTATAATATTCAATTTGAAAGATAGAAAATATATAAAAATAGACCATTTGTAAAATCGCTCACAAGCATGTAACAGAGTAATGTTGATTTGTTTTCTTTTACTTGTATTACTGTAATGCTTGCCGTAGACGAGAAATCGATGAGTTTGTAATCTCTCTGGAAATCATACGTTAAGGAGATTTTAACGCCATAAAAAAATTCTATAAAAACAGAATAAACATTACAAAATTAATTAGAAATCGGCAAACTAAAAATCTGTAATCTTATTGCCGGATATTTGTAAAAATAAAGATAAGATAGCGGTTTTTATTGACAACACTGAAATCAATTATTAGATATTAATTTATTATTGATGTATGTAAATTTCTTAAAACATTAAAACGGGTAGAAATAATAATAAGAAAAAAAAATTAAATATGATTTACTTTAAAAATAATATTTATATTTCCTTCATGATCCCATTTTATTATTTTTGCGTTTTATGGATGGTCTTTTATACGAGAGTGAATATATGTTACTGCAATATATAAACGTTTAATATATGATTTAATGTTATTATTAATATGTATGGAAGTAAACTATGAATCGTTTGTCTTATTTTTAAAATGTTTTTAAAGCTTTTCATAAATTTTACCATGAATGTAATAATATTATTGAAATCCATGAAAATGAGAAAGTAAGATGTTACTGTATTAAAATAGACTAAAGAAATAAAACTGATTGCTTTGAATTTTAAATGAAATTATCAGCCAGATAAAGAAACGTTAATGGATGAACTGCGCAGAACAATATTTCTGATCAACTTAAGTTTTGGTGAATTTCAGAATTATGATACATAACAGGACAGACAGATAGACTAAATCTGTAATTCAATTTTGGTTTGCAATGCAAAATGCAAAAGCAGTTTTACATGGATTAGGAGGTTTCATCTAGAATTAATTTTATAAAGTTCAATGATATAAAAAAAACATTAGACAATTAAAGTGCAGTATAAAATACTTATTTACTCAACGAGCATTAAATTTTTGCTTCTAAATTTTATATTTTATTTGAAACTTAATAGTTATTATTTCCTGTAAAATAATATTATGACGAGTTTCTAAGTTTTATTCTTCCTTAACAAATGAGTAAAAGTTTGTTATGCTATGTTTTTCAAACAAAAAAAAAGCAGTGTACTTTTCCTATTTTAATGAAGTTTTATTACATTAATTATATAGTTTTTAGAATTTATTTTAATTATAATATTATGAGTGTAACCCATCGAAGCGTCTAAGTATAACTAGATTAATATTTAACAATTTTCATAATAATTCCAGTTTTGTTATTTGAGATTAGAAATAGTAACATCGACAGATAATGTTAAGTATTTACTCATTAGTAACCAAAACATGCCATAACATACTTAAGTAAATTACTTAAATAATTAGGTATTTACGAATACGGGTTTCTTCAGTTTTCAATTATTTTATACATTAGTAGTTTCGTAGTTATATATAGATAAGATCTAAATGAAAGACTACTTGAAATCGATCTACCTCATAATTTAATTTGGTTTATTAGAGTTTATTGATAAGTTAATTAACATTTACAAATTCTAGCATTTATTTTTTCATACTATCTTCGCTACGCCGAATTTTTAGGATTTGTATATCTTATGTTTAGAGTTTAAAATTTTGTTTTTTTTTTAATTATTCAAAGAAAATAAATTTAAAAAATGTGTCGTATTTTATTTGTTATAATTGCCAACATTATTATTACTAGGTACCCAAAACTCACAAATTTTGTAGTTGAATTTTTTTATCTTCCGAAGAAATGGACAAGATTAAAAAAAAGCTAAACGTAGGTACGTTTGGCTTTTTTATTCTACATATGTTAAATATAAACAAGAATACACATTCCTATTACTTATTCTTAACATCTTTTTGCTTATGTGAAAGTCTAATTTCTTTTTACGTAGTCAATTTAAAGTTTAATAATTGATGATAATTGATTGAGTCGCTGTGTCGTTTAGAGCAGGTCCTCTGAAACTGACCATATGTTACATGACCATATTGACTGACATTTGAAGTCTAAAGAGTTGAGGTTTGGGCTAGATGAGGGCCAGTCTTCAGCTCTTAGAAAGTTCGGAACGATGGTTTCAACCCAAGCTTAGGTGCAGAGTCCTGCTGGAAAGTTTACGGTATATTTTTAATTGTATTGTTTTAAGTGTATTACTGAGAGGTTTCATAACATGATTCAAGAGTATATCTTGATACACTTTGGCTGAAGTTTTCACTTCTTTTTCATAAAAGTGTAGTTTTGTGACTCCTTGATAAGACACGCCCTACCAAACCATAATTGACGCAGGATATGATCACGTTGGGCTTTTATGACTACTTGAACAGCTTCTTTAGAACTGTGAGCGTACGTGTATCATTTTGCAGTGTTCTTTAATCGTGAATTTTTTTTTATCGGTAAAAAAACATACATAGAACAGCGACAGAAAGCGTTTTGATCGATCTACTCTTTTTAATTGTAAAAATTGATTTAGGTTATATCCTGTATATCGACGTTTAGCACCGAGCTTCAGGTCTTGTTTTATAATACGCAACAGAGTCCTACCGGGAATCTGTATTTCTCGCGATAAGATTTTTTACTTCCTAATGAGGATTCGATGAATTCTGGCTTTAACAGCATTAACAGATCTTTGCTGGTCTTCGACAGAGGAAGTGTTGTTGTATCTGTTGATAGTACGACATACGAAAATAAAAATACGGCTAATACCAAGTTTTTGAAATGTCTGGAATATTACCGACGGCACTTTGTGCAAGGCGATCACTGCAATTCTATTTTCTATAACACCCCATTCCATATTGCAATTTGATAATTAACACGAAAAAATATGTGCAATGGTGCAAAATTGAAATAAGTATTTAAAATAATAAACGTGTTCCAAATTCAAAATAATTAAAAAGTTTCAAAAAAAAAGAATAGTTTTTATGTAACAGTCAGTAGTTATGGCCAGACTAGTTATTTATGACTTTAGGAACACAGTGGTCGTAGAAACTTTTAGATTATAGGTAATAACTAGCATTGATATAGTTAAAGAGTTCCTGTGATATAAGTACCTATTTGTAGAGCTAGTCACACCTGTAAACGTAGCGAAAAACATAAATTGCATGTGAGTATCTGTAAATAAAATATAAGGTACGTAAAAACTTAAGTGCGCAAGTCCGACTAGCATTTTAAAGTATTTGGAAAGATTAAATAAAAAGTGGTCCAATAATACAAATGGGTACTTTTGGTTGTTTATAATACTGTCTTATCTTTCATTGTAAGTTCAATTTCTGCACAATACAAACATTAATAATCATGAGTATATTTTTGTTTTGATCTAAGCTAGCCTCTTATAACAGTAGACCCTAATCTAATGAAATTCAGTAAAATTATACCGTCTTTTAGAGATAGGATTAAAAGTAATCCATTAAATTATAGGCCCATTTCTATTCGTCCCACACTAAGTAAAATCTTTTAAAAATTCATGACGAACCAACTAGTTCATTATTATGATTTAAATGAATTAATTTTGATTGTCAGTTTGGTTTCTAAAGGGCGATCAACCACGAATAAGGAGTTACTAAGACACATTTTTGCTGCGCTCGCTGCTTTTATAGATCATGATAGGTACATTGCTTAAAAAAACTAGCTTTTGATGGTGTCAATGATAATACTTTATATATATTCTTTATTGCACTAAAACATACAGTAACAACAATAAGTTAATAACAATGTTAGCATACTGTAAACTGTTGTCACTTTAAACTTAATCAAATCATATTTATTAAAGAGAATTAAAAAAGTTCAAGTAAATAGTGTTACATATAAAGAAGCGCTTGTGCAAATGGTTGTGCCTTAAGGGTCTATTTTTGGGCCATCCCTATTTTTAGTTTATATTAATGATCTTGCTTTTGCCATGCAGAATAGATGCGGGTAGTATTCTTCGCAGAATATACTTTTTTCAGTTTTAATGTTGACAGATTGAGAAAAAATACGACTATGTAAATAATGTTTCACTTCATCATTTATAAACCGCAGCTAAAAAAACTAAATGCCTAAATTTTTCTCTTTCTAAAAAATCTCAATTTCAGTTTTAGTATAAAGTTAAATTACGAACCTCTTAATTTTATAGGTTCTATTATCTTTCTAGGAATCACCCTTGATAATAAAACTCAATGGGGTCCTCACATCCATAACCTCGCAAGTAAATTTAGTTCTGCAGCATATGCTGTACGCAAGGTTAAACAGTATGCTAATATTGAAACTGCCAGGTTAGTTTGATATTACTAGATGATTGATTGATATTCTTTTATAAATATACTATGATAATAGTACTGCGACGGATACCACTTTACATCAGGTGGGCCGTCAGCTTGTTTGCCATTCTAAGTTGTATAAAAAAAAATATTTTTCAGTTTCATTGGAGGTAGGAAATGAGAGGATTTATGGAGAAGGATGAAGATGTTTATTATTATTTTATTTACTACATTCATATATAGACAATTAATTCCGTCTAAAACGTTGCGTTGCGCTGTAGGGATAAGAGAATGAAGCCAGGTCAGTTATAATGAAGATTTTACGCTAAACCAAAACACCAAGAAATTTTTACGATAGTCTCTATAGGACTACCTCCCAGTTGGTGCTTGGTAGTACTTAATTTGAAACAATGTCTGCAAAACATTTTTTTTTATATGACTTCGAATGGCAAACAACCTGACGGTCCACCTGATGGAAAGTGGTAACCGTCGCATAGGTAAACTGTCATAGAGACATGAGCAGTACCATGGACTAACATAATTTGTTTTTTATTATTATTTAAAGCGCTAACATAAATCATGAAATAAACAAAATATAAAGAGTTTGTAGAATTAGGGATTACGCGAGTACGGAATTATAATATTTTTAAATATTTTTTTTGCAATATTTAAACTCATTGATTACAAAAATGTGATAATTAGGTTAGTGGTGTCAAGTTAATAATCGCATCAAGGTAATGAGTTTCTGCAGCAAATGACCACGAGTGAGTGACGACACGATCCTTGGGAATGGTAGGGGTGAGAGGCGAGTGTGTGCGGGGTGCGGCGGTCGGGCGGTCGGCGCGGAGATGTCACGTTTTTCAGCGAAGCCGGGCGAAGATGGGCGCTCGGAGGATGCAGCAGTGCGGGGCGCCCCTCACAGCACCCTCCCTTGCCCCTTGCCCCTCGCTGACGTAACGCTGCCGTGTCTGCCGCCCGCCCTAGTGTGTGCCGCGCCGCGCTCTGACTGGGCCATCACGCACGCCGCGCCCTGCACCACATCAGTGCAAATCACTTGACGTTTTACAAATTTCTGCTCCAGTTTTGGGTTTGATAAGTGAATGAGGTGCATGACGAGTTTGTGCATACGTTTTTGTTACCTCCATATTAATATATCAAAATTCGTGGTTGCTATAAATTTTGACACCGCCCTTAGAGGCTGGATGCATCGATGTCATTCTACGATGACTTGTCGGTGTTGCTGAAAGTATTGCAAATTTCGCTATGTATCTGCGTTGTTACGATTTATGTTTACTAATTTTTTTATTAATTGATTGTTAGTATAATATCTATAAAATGTATCTTACAACATTGTATATAATTTTTGCTAGACTAATAACTAATAGTCAATTAGCCTTTAGTAGTTATAAATAAATTAAAGGACCAGGTGTCTACATCAATAAATCTATAAATATTAAGGTTTTTCTATATTATTCGGTTATTAGGATCTATTCGGGTTACTTAATGTATATTTTTTTGTTAATAAAATAGTTATGATAGAACAATAAAAAAAAAATACACTTCTAAACAAATAAAATTATTAATTATAGAAATAGTAGTACTACTTAGATCCATAATTAAAATAATTTCATAAAGCGCATCTAATCGGTTGTGTTATCGACAGCTATGTGTTTCAAATAAGTCAGCAATCAGTTCAGTACAATAACAATATATCGGATATAAAATTCCATTGATACAATCTTATGGTAAGTTAGATGTTATCGATCCTGGCAAACAGTTTGTAGTGTTATTACTAAAGCTTCTTAGTGATTAGAGCCATCATACATTTTTCGGAGCATCCCAGACCAGTCATCTGGCGACTCGTACAGAGCATCATCCATCCTCATTGTAGATCTATTTATATTAGCAGCATTATAAATGGCCTTGAAATTAGATTAATGTGTTTCTTGTTCTGTCATGCCGCAATCAACTACTCGAAATGATTTTGGATATGGTTAGAAATTGTATTATTTTGTAAAGAGGAGCAAAGATGAATGACTTTGATAAAATATTAACGAAGTCAACTATAATTAGACGAACATAAAGTGATTATTAGAGCTAAGTTAAATTGGTCAGGTTATAATTTCAAAGGCTCAATTCCATACTTATCAAAGAACACGTAGGTTATTTAAATACGCTGAATCAATTGCTATACCATCTTTTCACTTTGGATGTATCAAATATAATATTTATAACTTATTATTATTAACCCTACCGTTTTATTATAAGGTTGATATTCGCCAACACTTAGTGCTGTGAAAAAGTGCATAATCTTTCCATTGTATGTTTATTACTGTTTAACTTTAAACAAAAAAATATTATCCGCTCGATTATTTTATCGACTTGTTTAGATTCATTGTCATGGATAATACCAACAATGACCCACAAATGAGTTGCCGTTCTTGGGTATATTTGATTTCATATATACT